TACAAGAAGGATCTTCAGCACGGGTATGGAGGTCCTGAGGTTTTGTGGTAATTTTTTTAGGGAAATAATCTAGTTCAAGAGTCTGTATGAGAGAGATTACCCTCCTCTTTTATTGTTGAACACCAGCTTTTGAGTCTTTCCAGGGGAGTAATAACCTATACCACAGGATTCCCAGCCTGCAGGCTCCTGGAACTAGAGCAGGGCTGGAGATGAGGGAGCCCGCCTTCAGGGGCCAGCAGGGGGAAATGTTTTCTTACAGCGAGTAAAAACTGCCTGCTAATAATGAACTGTGACTGACTTGGGGGTTTGCCATGTCTGACTTTTTCTATCAAGGGGGGTCTAGTGTGTTAGTTATTACCTATGTGTTAAATCTCAGCAACTTATTTTGGTTTATAAAACTGTTTTTAGCTGAGAAAGCAAAGGGTTATATTACTTTTTAAAGTTCCCTTTATAATTCCCTTCCTGTCTGACAGTGCAAGACAAAACAAATCTTCGGGAGGAATATCCATCTCCTTGATGGACACTGCCCAGAGCCACAGGCAAACCCACATCTAAGGACCTTCCCTGCTGTGAAGAACAGCCAGGCTGTGACACTGACCTCACAATACTGCCTGGGATTTGTTATAAGAAAATAGCAAGGGAAAAAAAGGAAGGAGTATTTAAAAAGTGATGCAAAATATGTGGATTCTTTATTTACTTTTTATGAGATACTAAAAATTTTCATAAATTAAGAAAAATTATGTTATTATTAATGAAATTTATTTTATTCAATTAAAGAAGAAGGATACATACAATTTAAAAACCCTAAGAATCATTTTTTACTTGGACTACATTTGGGAAAGTAGCAAATTTCCTTGAGTCTAATTTGTTACTTCCGTCATAGCCTTATATTTTAAAAGTAAGTGAATATTCTTTCATTTACACACTGACCATGTGAGTTATCTGTGACAGTTCATTTCTCACCAATTAATATCTCCAAAAGAAAACAGGGAAGGGGCCCAAGCTTGGAGCCTAGACACAGCATGAGGGAGTGTCAGTGAGGAAGCAGTGGAGGCAGAGGTGGGAGGCTGGGAAGAGGCGAGATCCAGCCGAGAGGGCAGGTGTTGCTGGAGAACAGCGTCTGGGGCTGCAAGGGAATCACTGCCCACAGGGCCAGGCAGAGGAGGGGCAGTGCAGTGAAGCACCAGGCTGCTAGGAAGACCTCAGCGGGGACCACAGCCCATAGATGAGGTTACTGTGCACCTGTGGCTAGGAGAGCCGCAGGTAAGCCTGAGCAGAAGACAGGTGAACTGAGGGTGCTGGATGAAGTGCTGCCTAGGGAGGGAAGCCACACATGCTGGCAAGACAAGCACTCCCATCTGACCGGGCCACGCCCACCGTGGGAGAACACAGCTGTTGCTAAGTTTCCTAAATGTATACATTTGAATGCCTTGAAATTCTCCTGAAATTACTTTTAAAAAAATGGTTCAGGTAGCCACAGTATGTAAGTGCCATGACGCAGGAGCTCTGGGAGGAATGGAGTCCAGAGATGAGAAAGGGACAAAGTCACAAGCACATTTCTTGTAGAGCCCTGTCCCCATAGCAGAAGGCACTGAGGAACTTCTTAGGGCTCTCCCAAGAACGCCAGGAATCAAAGGAGTTTCTTCCCATACTGTGTGCGCTGAGAACAGCTAATACAAAATTTTTTTTTTATTTGGACTGAATCCCTGAAATTTGAATTTGAGGCTTTTCCCTTTAGTCCTGTTCTCAGGGGACACAGACATGCCAGTTAGTCTCTGCTCTCTGAGGAGAGTCATGGTCGTCCCAGGAACATGCTGGAGAATGTCACCATTTCTACATCTCAAGCTCTCAGCAGAATTCTTCAGTGCACAGATGGCCACTAAGACCCAAAATGTGCTGGAAGGCAGCTTCAAATACCTCCATCTCAAAGCCCTTTCATAAATCAAGGGATATGGTCTTCTACCAACCCCTGGAGAACGTAGAGGAAATGAAACATCTTGTCCATACAAGCTAGGCTGTGAATCAAGGGCTTCTCTGCTGCATTACTCTGGATCAATGTAGGAGCCATAGATATTTTTTCCTATCATATTTATATTTATTTCTTTGTCATTTTCTATTTATGCCATTCTGTTTTTCCCCCAAGCCCTACAAATACTGTTCTATTTATAAATTTGCCTTAAGTTTATCAAGCTGAGTTTATGTCATTGTTTTTTCTATGAATTTTGTGTTCTCTGGTGTAATTTTTATTAGTTTGCTATGGGCTAAATTATGTGCCCCAAAATTTATATGTTGAATTTTGTTCAGCAAATTTGTTGAACTTGTTGGATTCCCAATATTATTATCACTGCCAGGATATCCAATAACCACCTTCTCTCTATGCTAAGTTTGTCCATGAATCATCATGCTTCTGTGCCCTGCAAACCATTTTTGAAAGACAGTGAAACATTTTGCTGAGTGTAAATCCTGCCTGGGAGTGACAGCAATCATCAGGGCAGAGGGTCTGGTCCTGAACGCCCCCACCCCCGCCCCCCACCATACAGGCTCTGCCCTTGCAGATGCCTGCAAACCACAGAACAAGCCAGGCATGTCAGCATGCCTCATGGCTCCCATGGCCACAGCCACACACTGTGGGCTCCTTTGGTCAGTGTCCACTGCTTCAAATCTAACCCGAGAGAATGGATACCCCAGGCTCTACCGCATGCCACATTCATGTGGCATACCCCACCCTCTAGATAGCTTAGGGTCTGTCTGCTCCACCGGCAGGACCTCCACCAGGCACAATGGCAGTATGCTTATCATCTGTCTCCTCCACAGATCTACAAGCATTCCAAAGGAGGAGCGATGTCTCACTCACTGGGGCATCTCCAGTGGGACCCACACCTGTTACAAGGAAAGTGTGCAGTCTGTTGAGGACACGGGCTGGCACAGACTGTCAAGGGACCACGAGGTGAGCCTCGCAGAAGGCACATGGGCTCGTGAGAGGAAGGATGTGAAGCCAGGGCTCCCACTGATCTATTTTTAAGTACTTTCACATCTGTTCCTTCATCTGATCATGAATAAAGCCCTGTGAATGAGGCAGGAAATAATTCACACCTGTCCTTACAGTGGAGGAAACTGATGCAGGAAAGGTCAGGTGCTTTGTACAAGGCCACTTCATGGACTTCTCTATGAGGATACTCTAGGGATAGTAAAGCTTTACAATAAATCCAAAGGCTTCCTATGAATACACACACGTGTGTGGCAGGGAGCAAGGGAAGGAACTTGCAGTTGAAAATATGTTCTCATAAATCTAGTAATACTAATTTTAAGGAAAGAAAAAATATTTGCCTTTCTTAATTAAAAAAATGGAAACATGAAATAAATTATGTGGTGATCAGAGGAAAGCAATTCAGTTAAAAAGAAAGAAAGAAAGAGGCTCAAAAACAAAAATTACAGTTCCATATTGTATTGCTTGCTTTTACAAATACTAAAATCTCTTTAGGAAATTTTCTGGCATAAAACATAAGGTTTATATTTACAAAGGTTTTAGCCTGTCAATCCTTATATTTTAAGAGTGAATTATCAAAATGTAATTTTATAAGGTTATTATATACTATCATGAAAACCAAATAGGCATAATAAAAACAATTTTGAAATTAAGAGTTTGGAAGATGAACCACAGAATAGGGATGTGGCTCAGTGGTACAGCACTTGCCCAGCCAATGCAAGGCTCTGGGTTCAATCCCCAGCACTACTGAAAAAACAAAAAGTGAAGCATCTTTGTAGATTCACATCCATCAAATAACTACTGAGGGATTCTGATTCATTTCTGTCCAGTCCTTTCCAACTTATGGATGGGTTTCTTTGGGTTGTTTTATGATGTGGCAACATAAAAAACATGCCATTTCATATCCTAATTTTTTTCCACATAACATCCTAAAAGCTCTTTCAGATTATTATATCATCTTTATAACCACAATCTATAATTTACTGTATATTCTTTTAATTGGTTATGCCATGGTTTATGTGATCATTCTTCTATTTTATTATTTTTGATTTATTTTTTAGTTGTTGATAGACCTTGATTTTATTTATCTATATGCAGTGCTGAGAATCAAACCCAGTGCCTCACACACACCAGGCAAGTGTGCTACTGCTGAGCCCCAGCCCCAGCCCCAGCCCCATCTCCTATTTTAGGCAAGGCTGTTGACAAATTTTACTACCATATATAATGTCTTTATGATTATAGGTAATTTTGTCCATTTTTGTTTCTTTTAGATAATTTCCAAAAGCATATTATAAAGGTGGACAGTAGTTTGTAAGCCTTTCAACATACTCTGCCAAATTGCTTCTCCAAAGGTCTAATATGCATTATTACCAGGAATGAATAAGAATGCTTACTTGCTTACATTCTTATCATAATCAGTAAATCACCTGTGTCATTTTATTATCATTATTATTATTTTTAAAGAGAGAGAGAGAATTTTTAATATTTATTTTTTTTAGTTTTCGGCGGACACAACATCTTTGTTTGTATGTGGTGCTGAGGATCGAACTTGGGCCGCAAGCATGCCAGGCGAGCGCGCTACCGCTTGAGCCACATCCCCAGCCCATTTTATTATTTTTTACTAATAGGTGAAAAATATACCCTCCTAGTGCTAATTTTAAAATTTCCCCAGAGAATGAATATTTTCCTATCATGGTTATTAATTGAACTTCCTCTTTTGTGAATTATTTTTTATATCCATTATTTATTAATTGGTTCATATGAATTTTAAGATAAATTTGTTTGAATATTTTATAAACTAAAATGTTAACTCAGTTACCTTACTGGTGAAAAATATCATTCCTGAAATCTATGCTTCCTTTAGACTTTTTGTTTTAGTTTTTACCTTGATGGTTGGTTCTCTCCTCTGTGATGATCTTTAAGAGGCTTTCACACCAGCTCCCTCTCTCCCACACCCTCTTCCTCCTCAGCCCCCAAGGTTTTACCATTACACATGCAGAGTCGGAGGCATTACCTGTTGGTCATCAGGAGTCCATATGCCACATGTGATTTGACTTTCCAGGTTGATCTCAGATGACCAGTGTCTTTGTCCACTGACAGAACCAACCAGGACAAACCCATCTCGATAGGAAATAAGTGCTTGAGTCCCATCGTGGCTCCACGTGAAATCACTCACCTTCAGACACACAGAGAGAAGGGTCAATTGTGATCTGAAAGGGGAAACACTTTTACCAAAGCCTAGATAGAGTCGTTAGCTTGGCTTTTCGGCTAAGATCAAGAGGGCGTGAAGAGAAACCGCAGTGAAGGTATCATCAGGAAAGCTCCAGGGACTGCAGTGAGGGGCAGCGTGGTCCTCATTAGCACTGTTTTATGTACTGTGTGGACATTCACCCATTAAGCCCCACACCAACTGCCCATGAAAGTGCTGTCCCCCATCTGCAGAGGAAACCAGGACACACAGGGGCTAAGTGATCTTCCCCCAGCCACACTGCAAGAGAGTGGCAGAGCTGAGAACAAGCCCAGGGTTCTGTGGCTCCAGGGTTCTTACTTTTAACTGCTGTTATACTGCCTTCCCCTTAAGATTGGTGACAGATTCTCCATGAGTGTCTGTGGTCATTTACCAAAATAATAAAGCTCTAAGTTTCTGATTATATTCTCTCATAGTCTTGCTAGTAATATTCTCTCAATCAAAATGGGATGCATTTTAATTTTTCTCTTTTATGGTACTAGGGTCAAACCCAGGGCCTTACAGGTGCTAGGTAGGCATTCTACCACTAAGCTACATCTCCCGCCTTATTCTTGATCAAAATGAAGGTAAAGAAATCTAAGTGGAAAACATTACTTACAACTGAATTTATCAAATGCATGCATTGAATCTATCCAAATGACATTGTTTTTTCTCTGGTGATCTATTGTGGTAAATTCCTTCTATGGATTATCCAGTATTATTATACTATTCTTATATACCTGTGGGTATTTGGACTCTGCTATATAAGTAATTAAGACTGGGCTGGGGTGTAACTTGTTGGTAGAGCACTTGCCTAGAGTGTGCAAGGTCCTGGGTTCCATCCCCAGCATGAGGGGGCGGGGGGTGGGGGGGTAAAGGCTAAACATTTCTCTCACATTACCACTTTAATCCTATCTTACAAATTTTAATATATGCTTTTATTATCATTCAGATCTAGGACTTTATAAACATCCATTAAATGTATTTTTTAACCCAGGAACTATTTCACTACACATTTTTTAAAAAATCTCAAATATGCAAGAATTTAATAACTCTTTTGTTATTAAGTTTTAACCCAGGTTCAATGAACTCATGGGATTGTGATCTATAGTCATGGTACCTACCACTGGAAGTCTACTGAAATTTACTTTATAACCTAAATTAAGGATTGACAAACCACAACTTATGGGCAAATCTGGCCTGTCAGCTCTGTTGGTCTACCACTCAAACTAAGAATGGTTTAAAATAGTTGAAGGAAAAAAATCAATAGCAGAATATTTTGTTATTCATGAAATTCAAGTTTTTTTAAAATTTCTTAATTTTTAGATGGTGCTAAGGATCAAACCCAGTGCCTCTCATATGCTACGCAAGTACTCTGCCACTGAGCTACCGCCCCACCCCCAAAATTCGAGTTTTAACATCCATAAAGTTTTTTTATTTCATCAGTAAGTTTTTAAAATTTGTTTTTTTATTACATAATACCTGATTTTTGGCTCTTGATCCACAAAACCTAAAATATTCATATATGCCCCTTCATAGAAAGTTTACAGACTCTTATGCAAGAACAGGTCAATTGTTGTTAAACGTTCTGTGAGAAAACCTGTGTTCTAACTGGTAGACTTGGGACCTCCACATGTTTACTAGGTCCAGTTTGTTAACTGTGTTGCTCCAATCTTCTGTATCTTTGCTGGTTGTTTGTCATGAGTGTGCTATGTCATTAACATAGACAAAAAGGTTTGCATCTTCCCACAATGTCAGAATTTATCGAACAATAATCAGTTCACAGGTACTTTCATCAATGGCAATTCACTGAATACTCATGGGTCACCTGGTAGTCATAGGATAGACAATCATAGGTTCTTTTATTCCTATCTTAATTTTTATTATCTACAATATTCAAGTCACATATCACACTTCACCCAATTATCTATATAGGTTACAGAAAGACAAGGAAAGGGCCAAGGCAGCCACAGGGGTTCCAGAGGCTCCCTGAGAGCAAAGGCAAAGAGCAGACAGGAATGCAGAGTCACTATGGGTGCTCAGATAAGATTAAAAACCAGTCAAAGAACTTGTTCAGGACACAATGCAAGAATTTATTCTAGGCCAAGGTCTGGAGGCAGTTTTACAATATCAATTTGGAGCGTCAGCTTGGAATGGGACTTGTGTGGTCGGTCATCATGGGCATCACTCTGCTAAAGATTCCTCACGGTGGTGATTTTCCTGGGCAAGGCTTGTGACCAATGACCCCGGTGAAAAATCAGGGTGCCGCTGTGTCCAGTCTTAGGGTATGCCTCCTTTTATGAGTCTTGACCGAGGGGTTGTATCATTCACTGGTCTCGTGTGTTCCATAAACTCGTGGGCCTGGATTTTCTGATATGACTTTGATTTGCCCATATATCGATGTGCTTCTGATTAATTCAATAAGTTCATTCTCATTAGCATGAATAGTTTATCAGTTAATGCCTTATGAGTGTGCCAGGCAAATGGTGGTTGTTTACTTGTACAAACAAGGTGTAGAGTCATTCCTTCTTAGCACTTAAAACTCACAATTAGTTTGCTTATGGCAAACTGCTGCTTTACAAAATGAACTGACAAAGGTTCAGGAAGAGACTGGAAACTGCTGTTCTACACACCACGGACTAACTCAGAGAGGGCACAACCTGCTCTCCACACTGCTGCCAACACACGTCTGAGTATGTCAGTGGATTGATCAATTTTTCCTTTCAGTTCTACCAGTCTCCTTCACTATTTTGATGGTATTATTAAAAGCATATACATTAAAACATCTTGATAAACCACAGTTTATCATTATCTGATGTCTCTATTAACAAAGTAATATTTTCTGTCTTTAAGGTATTTTATCTAATATTAATCTAACTACACCAGCTTAATTTTTTTCCCTTGGTATTTGCCAGATGTATCTTTGTCATCCTTTGACTTTAAATTTGTATATGTCCTTAAGTTCTACATGTGGCTCTAAAAGGCATAGATCCCAGCTTTTAAAAATATAATCCATTAAGCTTTATTTTCTGATTTAATCCATTTGTATTTATTCTAATTTGTGCTCTACTTCTATTTGGCTCTTGTGTGTGTACATGCGTGAGCGCACCCACCTGTGTGGTACTTTACCACTGAGCTATACTCCAGTCCTTTTTATTTTTTAAGACAGGATCTCACAAAGTTCCCAAGGCTGGTCTTGAACTTGCAATCTTCCTGCTTCAGCTTCCTAAATCACTAGGATTACAGGCTTGCCTCACTGTACTTTCTTAATTTACTTTTTCAGTTTGTACTAACTTTTGTTTCTTTTTAATCTTTTCTAACACAAGAATTACTCTATGATCGTCACTGTTGCTTATACTTGGAACTATTCAAGTCTCTTTAAAATGTGACATGATGGGGCTGGGGTTGTGGCTCAGTGGTAGAGCGCTCGCCTAGCACATGCAAGGCCCTAGATTCAATCCTCAGCACCACATAAAAATAAAATAAAGGTATTATGTCCAACTACAACTAAATAAACAATATTTTTAAACAATGTGACATTACTAGATGAATCACATTTTAAGAAATAAGAAAAATATATGAACTAATTGCAAAAGGGGCTAAAGGTCTATAATGAGTACCAGCAATATCTCTTATCATGACAATGGCATGATTTGTTAAGTAGCTCTTGAATAACTGCTCTGAGAGTCCTTAAAAAAAAAAAAAAAAAGACAAACAAACAAAAAAACCCATTTCTTCAGTTAAATCTAGAACCTTGGGTTCCTTTAAATTATATCCCGACCACCTGAACTACCTAGTTTTTCTTAATTTAAAACAAAAATTGTTTATTCTGCAATAAAATTTAAAAGTTCTTTCATTTTGCAAAGATAATGTTATTACTTACCTGCATTTTAACTATGTACTAAGAGGAAAAACATCTTAATAGAGAGCTAAGGCAAGGCCAGGAAAATGAAGCTTCTCAGGGATATTATAGCAACCCATCTCTTTCAACAATCATTGTTTCTCTGTAGTGAAAAAAATGAAAATCCTTTCTTATAGCTGTTTGGAAATACCTAGGACACTCATTACTGATAATTACCCTACTGTGCAACAATACACCAGAACTTCTTGTTCTTACCTAACACTAATTAATACCCACTGACCCACCTCTCCTCATCTCACCCTAACCCAACCACTGTCCCCAGCCTCTGGTAACGACCATTCTATTTCACCTTCTATGAGACCAACATTTTGTAGATTCTGCATATGAGTGAGATGGTGCAGCATTTGCCTTTCTGTACCTGGCTTATTTCACTTACCATGACGCTCTCTGGTTCCACCTGTGTTGTTGCAAATGACAGAATTTCCATCCTTTTTCGGTTGTTGTATTCAGTGTGTGTGCGTGTGTGTGTGTGTGTGTGAATCCTTACCCATATAATTACTCATTTTTAATTTTTGAGGAACTTCCAAACCCTTTCATAATGGCTGCACTAATTTACATTCCACCAACAGTGGGAATTTACACCTCCCTCCCCTAGTGCTTACTGTCTGTCTTTTTAATCACAGCCATTCTAACTTGAGGTGGCAGCTCACTGTTTTTCTAATGATTAGTGATGTTGAGCATTTTTTTTTTCCATATACCTACTGGCCATTTGTAGCTTTTATTTTGAGATGTCTCTACTTAGGTCTATTGTCCAGTTTTTAATTGAATTACCTGGGAATTTTCTTTTGAGTTATTTGAGTTCCTTATTATAACTCATATATTAACCCACTGCCAGATTTACAGTTTGCAAATATTTTCTTCCATTCTGCAGAGTATATTATATTGATTGTTTCTTTTGTTGTGCAGAAGCTTTTCACTTTGATACAGTTATACTTGTTTATTTTTGGTTTCCTGCACTTTGGGGATCTTATTTAAAAAACAAAACAAAACAAAACAAAAAACACTGGCAATCTCTCATAAGGTGATGCAGGATGTTCACATGAATTAACTGGGTTTATTAGGCAGCATGGAGCAACAAGAATATATCACACCTAGAAAAACAAAATAGTGAAAAACAAAAATAATGTGAAGTCAAATACTGAATGCTGGAGAGAAAATTGAAGAAACTTCCCTTCTTCTGGTTGCTTCTCAATTGCACAGGGTTACAATGCCTTTACTTTACTAAAGATAGCACTCAGACGAGGAATAACTGAAGCCGAGCAGCAACCCAACCAATAGTTGCCTGAGGCAGCTTCTCAAGAGACTATCTCAGTGCATGTGCCTGGCACAACCGTCTTCAATGACTGATACGGTACAATAATGTGCGCACTGTTGCAGACCCTTTTTGAAATACAGGACTTATAATCAATGCCTTAAAAAGAAATTGTTAAGGCCATCATTTAGCTTCAGCCAAGTGTTTGCTTACTCCATGACAGTGAGAGACACTCTCTGTATCGAGGATCACCTGTTATTTCTTCTAAAAGAAGAAAAGTGGCACTCTTCTCTAAGCTGGCTTCCAGAACTCTCATCCTCCAAGCTGCAGAACTATTCCTTTCGCCAGACGCTTTTCCAAGCAAGCAGAGCTACCAGTGCCCCCACCAGTGATCCATTGGAACCCATGTGCGGTGTCTTTTTTATTCAGAAAAGATCTGACTCAGAGCAAATAAAAGCAACCGGTCCTTCCCAAAAAATGCCAGTGTTTAGTGGTGAAAACTGCTCAATGTTTTGAAGAAACAAAGTTTCAAACAGCAAAATTTCATGAAATCGGAATCAGGTCACAAGATATGGTGATGACTCCAGAGGAACCTGGCAGCAAAGGCATCTGTAAGATTCTGGATGCTGCCAGCTGCTCACAGCTCACCGGCCTCCAGAGCTGAACTCATCCCACCTTTCCTGTTTCTGACATGGCTGTCTGCTCCACACTCTCCATGGAAAGAAACAGAGAGGGACATGACAGGTGGCGGGGATGACGCAGCTGCCATGTGGAGACGATGGGATCCCCAACCAAGAGAAGCTACCGCCAGGAAAAAACCACGTGGCGGTGGCGCTGCTTGGCTGGTGGGGTGGGTTTCTCAAACAGTAATAAAGTCTGAGCATTTGGGGATACGCGGTGACATATGCATTTCTGCCAAGAGAAAAGTGCGCTTGCTGGGAACAAGCCATGCAGTGAAGTGCCCTGGACTCACACCAAGGCCTGAGTCCTCGCATCGCCACCCACGAGCCCCTGTGGGCAAGCTACTAAACCTGCCTGATCTGGACTTTTCTATTAACTGAGAATAAGAACATTTTCAGAATAAGGTTCCTATGGAGATGAAGGGAAATAACACGTTAAAAAGCCAAGCACTTGGTTGGCATGTGACCTAGTGTCCTTTTCCCTTTCTCCCCTAAGGAATGACTTTTGTCATCCTAAATCTGAAGGCCTTAGAAAAGCGTCCTCTACTTTGGTTAGAGACTCTGTGGGCAACCTCAGAGAACTGTCCACTTCACAGGAATCCATGACCAGCTGCCAACTCCAGGCCTGCAGCTGTTCATGGAGATGACGCCTGGCTACTGTCTCAGGGCAGGTGAGTTCTATGCTAGGGGACTGTGAGGAAGCAGTACTGACAATCAGTGCAAGCACTGCCTTAGTGTGCAGGGAAGCCGCCATACACTGTGCTTTTCACGTAGAGTCTTATTTAGTCCTCAGAGATCCTCTGCTCTGTCACAGGTGAGGAAACTGAGGCACAGAGATGTTAAATACTTCCCACTCAGAGGTCAACAGTGGGATTTCCTGCCTCTGCTGACTCCAGAGCTAATGCTCTTGACAAATACAACACGCACCCTCAGAGTGACTTGAGTGCCTCTGGGTCAGGAGATTTCCCACATTTGTACCTCTCCTTCAGGAAGGCTGGTTAGTAGTCACAGGGCTGGTGCTACCTCTTCTCTTGTCACTCCAAGAAGGCAGGTGGGAAGCTGATAAGGCTTTATTAGAGTCAGTCAATATCGTTACGTTTACCCTTACTAACAAAGAACTCACACAAGAAGAATGTTGTCTTCAGGCAAAGGGAAGTTTGTCTTCTGTGATGGCATCTTATGATCCTTAGCCTGCTAATTCTCACTGACAATAAATCTTCCTTTCTTGCAATTTTATGCCACCTGACTGGGCTATATCTTTCAGATGGAAGCTCATAGCTTATTTAAGCAACAGGCAGGAGAGGGAATCCTGTCCCTTAGAAATGTAGAGCAAGGCTCACGAGAACTCATTCTGGGAGAGTTAAAACAGTACAGGAAGCCCCATGTCAACAAACATCCCCAGAGGAGCCAGGCTCACCAATCACTGTGCTGTCAATCTCCGCGACATGTGTCCTCAAACACAGGAGAAGGGCCCAGCAGCCACCCACCAGGTACTCAGGGACAGCATGGCTCAGTGGGGCATCCCTGGAGCAGCTGTCTTCCTCAGAGTGGAGACAAACTGTACCAGAAAGGAAGGGTGGAAGATGACAATAGGTGGCCACACTAACTGAAACCCCACAGAGGAGTGTCACAAACTCATGGCTCAGGGAGTGGGTTGTGCGAAACAGTCTTGTGGAGATGGCAGCACAGGGAAAACACCTTCTGAAGGGAGGAAAAGAAACGTGCCAGGCGCACTTCCGAGGACCCGAAGTTAATGCATAGTCACAGCCCTGAGCAATGGGGAAGGCCCGCGGCGGCTGAAGAGCAGCAGCGCACTCAAGGGGCAGAGGGCACAGCTCTGCTTCTGTTCACTCAAGGGACAAGGGACAGAGGGCGCAGCTCTGCTTCTGTTCACTCAAGGGACAAGGGACAGAGGGCACAGCTCTGCTTCTGTTCACTCAAGGGACAAGGGACAGAGGGCGCAGCTCTGCTTCTGTTATTTCTCCTCCGCCTGCTCAAGGAGGAGCTGGGCGCTGCGCAGTGTTGTCCCCTCTGCGCTACAGCCCTGGCCAGGGGTCACTGGGCGTCATCCTCCTGGGAGGAGGCCTGCCGCCCACTCACCTGAGCCCCGCGGTCGTTGACCAGTTCCACAGACCACCTGCCTTCGTACTGAATCCACACGAATATTCCCCCGTCTGCGTCGCACGTGGCCAGCTTCTGGTACGGCTCATTCCACCTCACCAACACAACCTAGGAGACCACCAAGAAGACAGTTACCACGGGAGAAACCCGCCAGGGCCACGGTGATGAGGCCTTGAAACCCCAGAACTAAACAGTGCAGGGTCACAGGAAAAGGCTGGGGGACAACATGGGTGGAGCCACACAGGGCAGTCTCATGTGGCTCCAGACACACTTGACACATATCCTGGTAAACAGCAGTCACCTGGACAAACGTCCAAACGCTGCCCGCACTTGCCCACCACTGTGAACACAGGCCCCACCGGCACCCTGCACCTGTCTCTCCCAGGTGTGCAAGGGTCCCTCACCTGCTGGTCCTGTACTGTGGGAAATGATTTTTACAAGATTCATTGTTTTTGAATCAAGTGTTATTTATTTAGTACAGAAAAAAGAAAGGGTAAGTCTTAATTTAGCTTTATTTTCCACCAGAAGTGAAATTTTCTGGCACCTTTTTCAAGGAACTATCTTATATCTGAAGAATTTGGCATCAACATGGCCAATTCAGAAAAGGTACGGCTGAAAGATCTAATTTGTTTTAGGATTTATCACAAAGGAAATATGAAAGCCAAGTGTGTGGTATATGCCTGTAATCCCAGTGGCTCAGGAGGCTGAGATAGGAGGATGGCAAGTCTGAGTCCAGCCTGAGCAACTTAGTAAGATTTTGTCTCAAAATAAAAAGGGATGGGATGGGGCTGGGGATGTGGCTCAAGCAGTAGTGCACTGGCCTGGCATGCGCGGGGCGCTGGGTTCGATCCTCAGCACCACATACAAGTAAAATAAAGATGTTGTGTCCACCAAAAACTAAAAAGTAAATATTAAAAATTTCTCTCTCTCTCTTAAAAAAAAGGGGGGGGATGAGATGTAGCTCAGTGGTAGGGTGCCCCTAAATTCAATCCACAGAGTATAAAACAAAAACAAACAAACCAAGTTAGAAGTTTCAAATTTCATGAGTGTAAGAACTAAATTCTTAAATTTAGAAAATTCTGAGTCTAGACAAATCACTTTCATCTTTCTCAAGTGTAGCTTTCTTATCAAGTATCTCCTTCTTATCTAAAAAGGTAGAAAGTCTGTCAGTGGTTTATGACACTAAGTAAATGCCTGAAGGGTCTGAGATCAGCCCACAGAAGGACCAGTAAAAATCTATAAGGGAGCGGGGTGCCTGGACTGGTCCTGTGGACCATGTGCCACAAAACCAATACCTTAAGTTCACTGTGGTGAAGTGCTCCTGAGGCTGACCCGAGCTAGCCTATCCTGATGACCTAATGAATTGGTTCAGTCAGATATTCAGCATGAATTTATAATTCTCATGCTGCTAGGCATGGTGGCACAAACCTATAATTCCACTGACTTGGGAGGCTAAGACAGGAGGATCACAAGCTGGAAGCTAGCCTCAGCAACTTAGTGAGTCCCTGTTTCAAAATTTTAAAAATAAAAAGGGATGGGGATTGTGGCTTAGAAATTAAATGCCCCAGGTTCAATACCTGATGCCCCCCCACACATTTTTTAAAAATTATAACTCTCATGCTATGCGGCTAATATTGAATTGGAGGATATAAACCATACCCATTGCCCTCAGCGAGTTAAAGGAGGCCAGAATATCTACATACATGGGTAACACATCAACAAGGGAAGACTATCATGGGTCAGCAAGGGCACTATTATTTGTCAACATGTGAGCCCTGTCTACTCCCAATATTCTGTGCCTAATAAACTCATTGTAACTATTGTAAACATGTGACACAGGCATAAAGGGTTTCCAATTTCTAATTTGGATTCTAAAATACAAAATGAGCCCATAAACTGATGTCAAGGACTTCTACAATGCCTCCTGTCCCACTCACACCCATCTGTCCAAAGCACACTTCCTGCTTTCAGACCAGTGCACAAACCCATGACTCTTCAAAATTATACAACCTACACATCTGATTTTAGGTCTTTCAACATGCTTCCAGGGCACCAGAGCTAGGAGAGGACCCTAAGAATGGTCTGATTTAGTTCCCCTTGAGCTAGCCTTGGTCTGTCATACTTGATGGTATCAACATTTATAAGATGCACAACAAAATCCTCAAAACTTCCAAGAGGAAAATAGTACTATAGCTTTTTAAAAACCCTGCAATAATCAAAAGAAGCATGAGGTTGTGATCCTTGGAGACCCGTCGATGACTCATCACGCTAGTCAACTTGCAAGGATGAGACATCTAGAACTCTCCAGGAAGCTGCACCTGATTGCATCCCTGGGTAGACAGCCCCTTCCTTGCTCTGGCCCAGCTCTACAGATACAGTGCTGACACGATCCAGTAACATCAGCTTGTGGATAGATCTGCTGTTGAGGAAAGGGTCAGGTGGGCCTGTCTTCAAATACTGACACAGCAATTTTGAGCATATTTTGCCAAACAATAACATAGAATTAGAAGTTTGATCCATGTTAAATCATATCTTTGAACTATAAAAACTATTTCAAGTAGGTATTAAAAACTATTTCAAGTAGATAATTTTAAATTCCCAAAGGCTTTTAACAACAGCAAATACTGACTGTCTGCCTAACATGAGCCAGACACTGTTAGGGGCTAAAAAGAGAGACTAGGACATCTCTGGCCCTGTTGGAGCTCAGTTTACTACACAGACATAATATAGTGCTATGTGAGCCATTAAGGAGTTGTGAACATACCCAGGAGCAGGTATCAACAAGCGGAGAGAGGAACAATAAATTAAGATTCCCTTATTTAAGGGAATCCACAAATATGCACGTAGCTACAATCTGGTCTCAACAGACAGATATTAATCACTGATGTCTACATCATTACACACTTCAGAATGGTGATCACAGAATAGAATCTGACAAACAAGAACACAATATTCATAACTGATCAGTTTTTAAGTTATATCTTTAGGTTAACAGAGTGAACATTTGTCTGCTATGAGATTCTCTGCAAAAAGTGCCTCTAGACAAAGTGTCATATTTCAGAAGACAGAGGTTAGACACAATGTATCTTAGCCTTTTTGCATTTATTATTCACTACCAGTTCAGCTGCATAGTTAACGTCAACAGCAAAGCCCTTCTTCATGAAAACGGCCTGCACAGTCACAGCATTACATAAACATAGAAGAAGAGAGGAAAAAATATTTTAAAATTATTTCTAACATTAAAGATTTCTTGGTCTTATGACAACACTATTGCTGTTTCTGGGTAAATGAAATGTTCACAGATGCAATTTCATCCTTTGGTAGTTCTTAATCAGTTGAGATGCAGCAGTAAATGGAAATGTGGTCCCACCCCACACACTCCTCTGAGTTCTAATGCATATAGCTGGGTAGGTAGTTAACTCCCCTGCCAACTAGGGACAAAGTCTTTCCCATGATTCTTCATTTAAAAATGGGGTGAAATTGCAAATGTTTCCTTGGACTAGTATTCATTCTCATTTCCTCTCCTGTCTGCAGTTCACAGCTGCCGCCTTATCTCCCAGCATCTTATTTCCTGTTCTCTAAACCTTTCCAGCCTACTTGGCAATGATAAGACTAAAGTGCTAAGAAATCACCAGCCAGGGGACCAGTTGGGTACTTAGTCATCCAGATTGTGTGGCAGGGTACTGTGAGTCTGCCAGGTACCCTAAGGCACAGCTTTTCTTCCCCTGGGACTCTCTTAGTCTGGGCACCAAAGAAATTCCATGTTGAGGGTGCTAGCTCAGGGGTGCTCTTCTATTAAAAAGATACAGGATGAGCTATGTTCTGACCTCTGACTTTGATTATTCAAAAAATACAAGCTTAGGGCTGGGATTGTGGCTCAGTAGAAGAGTGCTCACCTAGCATACATGAGGCACTGGGTTTGATCCTCACACCACATAGAAATAAAATGAAAATATTGCGTCCAACTACAACTAAAAGATATTAAGAATAATACAAACTTGTTATCTTCTCCAATATCAGATATGCTTCAATTTTATAGTTTATTAAGAGGTATTAAGGTAGAGAATCTACAAGAAAAAGAAGGCAGGACTGCTGAAAGTCCACTTGGCCTATAATCTAAGGCCCTAGACAAGTCTCCTCACTTCCCATACCCAGAATTACATTTAGGAGAGCAAAACAACTGTCACTTAGCTCACACCAAGGGCATTTGTCTTCTTTACCCATTGAAAATATATAATTCACAGAGTTGTGTGACCATCACAGTACATTTTAGAACATATTCACTATCGTTGCAAAAGCCCCATACTCTAGCCATCGCCACTCAATCCCACACTTCCCCTAGCCCCAGGCAATCACTAATTTCCTTATGTTCTATGGATTTGCTTATTCAATACATTTTACATAAATGGAATCACATGATATGTGTGGTCTTTTCTAACTGGCTTCCTTCCCCTGCTATAAAGTTTCAAAGTTCATTCACGTTGTAGCGAGTATCAGTACTTCCTTTACAAGTCCAAACACTGTTCTCCACTGTAGGGCTATACCCTACACTCATCAGCTGATGAACATTTGGGTCATTCACGTAAAAAGGACTGAGAAGCTAATTTTGCTAAAAACACTGATTCTTCACTTAGTCCTACAAATGTTAAAAAAAAAAAAAAAGTGGCATCTTTGCCTCCATTTTGCCTTTGTCTCTTCTGTTTTGAACTGATCTCCTGGGATTCTAAGAACCACGATCTGATTGATAAACATCTTCTAACAAGTTAAAACTATCCCCAGGCAACAGAAACTTTCTCATCACCCATGACCAGGTAATGATCCACCAGACCACAATCTGACCAAGCCTGCTAGAATTCGTACGCCTCCTGCACACATCTGTATGATTTGAGAGCTCATGTGAGTATCCCCACAGACGGGGCTGGAATCACTGGTGTCCTTGTTTCCCCAGTACAGCTATACTAATTAAAGTTCTTCTCCTGCTTTTAGCCATTACTTTTCCATTTGATTTTGGGGTCAGGTGGCTGGACTTGATTGTTGGGGCATATCTCTGACCTAGGACTCCAGCAAAAAGGCCACATTTCGGTATTATGAATAAAGCTGTTATGAAC